TTATGTTGTCCAGGCACTAATGCTGCTGTTGAAAGGGTATTTTCACTAGGGAATGATTATTGGAGCAGTGAGAAGTCGCAACTTTCTGTAAAAACATTATCTGCCGTCTTAACAGTCAAATTTAATATGCAAAATGAAAGTTGTTCGGATGTGGCTACATTATTAGACGAACATCCTCATTTGGCAAAAAAAATCCACTCCGAAGAAAAATATGTTTTTAAAAGAAAATAAAGTTTTTATCGTTTTTTCTTATTTTTTATGAAATACTTGCAAAGTGTACTCCTTTTGAACAAAAAATAGTTGGTCACCTTAGTTTTATTTAAACTCTAACTTCTAGCACTTCATAAGTCTAGGAGTCACTCTAAAAAAGTCTCCCGTTACTGATTTAGTTCATTCGGAGCATTAATATATATGTATTTGTTAAACATGTAATGCAGTATGAGAATTATAACGATAAGTTAATCATACTTAAGTGGATCTTTTACTTTAAAGATAGTAACTATCTGTCATTTTCATACATTGTGTGTAAGATTTATCAGCTCTTGTATTATCAGTTAAAGCGAAAAAGGAATTCCTATATACATGTGCAATACTTGGAAAGAAAAGCATTTAACTGCGTATTGATAATTATGATAAAAATGTGTAATAAAACATACAAAAATGATACGCAATCAAATGTAATGAGATAATCACGGTTTTATGTTACTATCTTTATAAAGTTACTTGTATCAAATTCGAGTACTGTATCACGCACTAAACACTACAGTTTTCAGAGTATTTACTTACAGTGTGTGATACAACGTAAATTGAAACAAATATTTACCCCACAGATTTATGAGTTATATGTATCAATCGGTTGTAGTTAGATACTAAAAGCATTTGTTATTGTTTCGTAAACATTTAAAAATAATTGACATTTTTACCACCAATATTGTCAGAGATACTGTTAAAGTGCTAAAACACTTTATTTTGATTAGGACTAGAATTTGAATGTCACTCTATATACAGGATTATTAATCCAAATCTTCATCAGATACTTGTAAGAAACTACCAATGTAGAAAATTACGGCAGGAAGAAGATTGACCCCAGTTTGGCCCAACATTCAATTCTGATTCTAAATTAGCAACTAGTATTAGATCAAACATGACAAATGCTTGGTTTGTCATTTCGGCCTAAACCTAGTTGGCAATCTTGATAGACTACTGGACTTGCTGAACAAAACTAACCCAAGATTGGACAGCCAATAATGGGCCAAGATTTAATGAACAATCATCATCAGCATAAGGTCGTCAGTCCTAAGACTGGTTGGACACGCACCTCCATTCTTTCCTGTTCTGAGCTAATCTTCCCATTTCCCCAAAACTAACAAAAAAAAAACTTTTGGGTGTTTCATTCCCACCAGCCAGTAATGCTGGTGGGCGGGGCGGGCAGTCCCACTGGACTACGCCGGAAGGTAGGGCGGAAGGCCCTTTTCAGCCTGCTTTCAGGAATCGTGGGAATGGGTGGGTGGTGGTTCGGGTGAGAAAGTTGAGACAGACGAAATGAAGACTGTGGAGTATTACTGTCCCAGCATTTGCCTAAGCGATCCAAGGAAACCACAGAAAAACTTGGATCAAGGCAGACGGACCCGGAATCGAACCGGCGTCCTCCCGAATGCTAAGCAATAGTCTAAACCTCTAGACCAGGGGTCGGCAACCTTACAAGCCACAAATTGTTTTCTTGCCAGTCAGCACTCCACATGCCAACTTCTTCACCTCACTGTAGCAATCTGGAAGACTATTGGGATGCGGTGAAAAGCGAGTACAAGTGGCTGAGAAATAGAATCAGTGTCTAATCCTCGTTAATCAATTCAGAACGATTTTTAAATATTTTTTTTTGATAAAATAAATTATATTTTCGTATGGAAGCCGCAGCTTCATATCCAAAGAGCCGCAGGTTGCCGACCCCTGCTCTAGACCATGCCGCCCGGTTAAAGCATTGGTACATAAAGCCAAAGGTCCCGGGTATGATTTCCGGCGAGGGTGTCTCATAGCAGCAGCAATTTTTCCCCATTAATTTGAGGTACTTTCTAGTGCATAAAACAAGTGAGTTTTCACATTAATATTAAATATTAACTATGATTGTAACTTTATTAAGGAATTCTATATCCGATCGCAGGAAGTTTCGACAGAACACAGACCAACTGTACTTGCTGCCTCGTACCACAAACGGCAAGATGAACGCCATCTGTGGTTCAGTGCAGATATAGTGAAAATCAGTATATTCAATTTATGTTGATGGATATCTACTTGCTGTATGATCGAGCAGCATGGCCTAGAGGTTTAGACCACTGCTTAGTATTCAGGAGGACGCCGGTTCGATTCCGGGTCCGTCTGCCTTGATCGAAGTTTTTCTGTGGTTTCCTTGGATCGCTTAGGCAAATGCTGGGGCAGTAATATTCCACAGATTATCTTTCATTCTTTTCTGTCTTCATTTCGTCCGTCTCAACTTTCTCACCCGAACCACCACCCACCCATTTCCACGATTCCTGAATGCAGGTTTAAGAGGGCCTTCCGCCCTACCTTCCGGCATAGTCCGGAGGAACTTCCCGCCCACCAGCATTACTGGCTGGTGGGAATGAAACACCCAAAAGTTTAAAGTTTTTACTTGCTGTACTGCGTAGCTCAACACGCCGTTTGTGGTACTTCATCATGGAGGCGACTTTCCATCATGGTACTTATCTAGGTTTTTATATTTGTCTGAGGCAGCTAAAGAATCGCTCTACAGTACTCCTTATGCGCGGTTTAAAGACTAAAGAAGGGTTTCGTATCTTTTAACACATGAACATTGGAGAGCTCAGTTCTATTATGTTTATCTTGCCCCAACTGTTTCCAGTTCCTGCCCTTGACACCCTCGGTGACGCCCATGATTACTATCGTCACCAAAAACGTAAAATTTTATAAATTATTGATCGATTGGGATTTAACTCGATGTCTACCACTTTTTACTATCAAAAATTAAACGCAATTTGATTAAA